CCTAGTCTGTAACATGCTTCCCCTCAGCGCTGAAGACTTCCTTCTCTTAGTTTAGGTCAGGATACATTTCCCACAGGACCCTTGCCTGCTGTGAGTTCAGTGTCTCCTTTGTGTTCCTGTAGGTCTTTCCCGTCATAGCCTCTGTCTTCAGTATTGCCACCATCTCTTCTGTGCTATGAGCTCTGGCAGCTCATGTTTGTCTCAGTGTACCCAGCCTTCAGGGCACAGAGAACTTTCTGTTCCAAAGAAACATGTTCACTCCAAGAATATTTCCCATGGTGATATGTGTATGCCAACTTCAGCTCTTTCTCACAATGCAAATAACTTGGGGAATATTAACCTCAACCAACTGTTTCATGCTGCTCTTTTCAACACAAAAGGCTTAGAAACTCTCTAGGTGTCTCTGTAAATATTTTCTGCATGACTTTCTTCCTCACAGTGAGGTCTATGGACCTGCAGCGTCCAGAATGACCATGGATACATGAAATCGGGATCTACATGTTACCAGACCTCCCCCAATTCATGAGCACATTCAAGTTTGAGAAGCAGTCCTCTGAAGGACACTGTGCTTCTTTCCTCACAAAGGCTGATGGCTCAAATGGTGGAACCATCGAGAGACAATTTGATGCACCTGCAAAACTGTTCAAAACCCAAAGAATATACAGAGAGTGCAGCACTTATGTAGCTGCATCTCCTTTCATTTTTATTTTGAAGGAAACAGCAGTTGGTTAGATCCATGGGGAGCTCTTCCAATGGTGTTGGACGAATACTGTGCAGGGAGGTGTAATTAGTTACTGTAAATCATGCTCCCGGATGAGGTGAGCACTGCTCCCCCACAGTTCCCAGCACTGCTCCATCCCTGCAGTTCTCTGGCCCACAAATGGGTGAAGATCTTGCTGCAAGTGCTCATAGCACACTGGCCAGGCTGGTGCAATTTTACCAGTTGGCAAGAAGGAAACGCACTGAGAAAAAGGCAATCCAAACACCTGGCAAGACAGGCAGGACACAAGTCTATTTTTACCATGTGGACTGCTGAAGGTATACCTCTGTCCCGCTTCCTGGTGTAATCCTCATCTCCATGACCTACAAGTGCCTCTAAGCACATGGTGGGCTCTCAAAGCTCAGGATAAAGCAAACACATGGTTTATGCTTTGAAGTCCATCATCCCCCCCTTCAAGAAGAGAATGGGAATGTTTCCTTCAGCAAAGTTCCACCTAACTCTCAAGGGTTAACTAACCCTTACTTCTGATTCACAATTACAGTCTCAGAATATTGACAGAGTACACAAAACTCATGTAAAAGCAAGATCTATGAACCTGGCACCCTGGGCTCATTTTGGACACAAAAGTATCCTTCCTCCACTTGCTCCCAGCTTAACACCTCATAACCTGCCCTCTGCCCACTGGTGACATGTGCTAGCAAGTAAACTTTTGATCTATACCTAAGTGGTGATATAGAGGCTGTGAGAAGAGTGGCTCTGCCTCGGGGAGACCATGTCCTTTCTGAGGCATCCCTGGAGGATGGGAGCAGGTTAGGGTTAGGGCCTGGGGAGGAAGGCTCTGGCTGTGAGCAGAGCTTGGTATGGTTTGTGACTGCATGTCCCCCCGAAACCTCGTGCAGTCATGGGGCAGACTTCTAGAGTTTTGATTGATTCATGGTCCAGTGCTGGAATTATGGATGTGAGTGTTACACCTGCCCTGGGGCAGATAGTTTGCATATAATGTAAGGGATGGAAAGAGGCTGCCTCTGCCACTCCTTCCTTTTGCTCTTGTTGCTTTTGCTGTTTTTCCACAGCCATGAATGGTTGCCCTCTGCCATTTGCTGCCCTGCCTTGGAGCCAGCTGTGTACAGACTGAAACTGCCATAGACTGTGAGCTAAATAAACCTTTCCTTCCTTAATTTTGGATGTCAAGTATTTTGTCTCAGCAATGAGAGGAAAGTAACCAAGATAAGGCTCTTGTACCAGCCTGGGTGAGGTACGGACAGGGAGTGCTCTGGGGGAGCCAGCAGGCTCCTGGACATGATGGATTGCTTCCACTGTACTGAAGTCTCCTCCTGCCTGAAGGGAAATGACTTAAAACAGGTACAAGAATTCAAATTGCCAAACTGTGTTTCCTTGGTGACTTGCATTCCTTGTGAGAAGTCACCTTGGGAGGGCCCTCTGTGCTCCTGAGGAACTATGGGGGAATCTCATCTGGAACATACACTCAGACCCTCTCAGCAGGCCTGGAGGTTCAAGACTCACTCACCCTGTGCTCAAATCTCAGCCACCCACCTGCCCTACCCTCGACCTCTCTAATCTTACTTCCCACATCTCCCCAATCACAATCCTGTCTGCACTCATACAGCTCTCCTCATATTGTTCTCTGGGTCCCTAAATGGCCTTCTCTCTCTTGTTTTACTTTTTTTTTGGTACTGGAAATTGAACTCAGGACCTTGCACTTGCCAGGCAGGTGTTTGTGCCACTGAGCTATACCCCTGACCCTTGGCCTTCTCTCTTGATACTCCTCTGCCACTTATGAAGTACAAGATCTATTCCACATCTGCTTCAAGGAAATCAATCTTTCTCCTAGGGTATTTGCTGGTCTCTCACAGTAAGGGGAAGCCTGCCTCATCTAGCAAAGAAACCAGTAAGCTATGGCTCAGTCTTGTTTGCTGTACAAAGCTAGAAGAAGGGAAAAACAAGAGACAAACATCTGGGACCATGTGTGGTGAGTTCTTCCACAGAAGGCTGTACTTCAGCTAAGAGGATGCAGGCCTGATCTCACAGAGAAGACAGAGTACCTCCAGGATGGAAGGTTTAAAGGTGAGGGTTGCCTAAGGGGAGGGAAAAAGTGGACCAGTGTGCTGGAAGGAGGAGAGAAGGCTCCTCTCCAGCTCTGGAATCTGGAACATAAATAGCAAGAAATAACTCTGACCATTGCTATGTGTATCACAGAGCCTGAAGGGCCTAAGACCTGAAAGTCTACATAGGCAATGGCTGGGGAGGAACTTGATGACTGTCTACAGGGGGTAAGATGGAAAAAAAGGCTCTCAATGCAGAACACACTGGCAGCTTTTGCCACCATAGGCTAGCCAGCTAGAACAGGGAAGCCACCATGAAGTAGTTCATTCTGACATTGCACATGCTTAAATCACTCTGCCTTATGTGATGAACTGATGCAGGGAATCTTCACTTCTCCCCTTTTTTAGTTACACAGAGAGATACATTTTTCCAACCAATGTCTCATTACCCATTCATTTTTCTGTTCAACATCACCAGTGCCTGCATCATGTCTGGCCCCGTGCTGGGCACCCGTGGGCCCTGGCCCCTTAGGAGCCACTGTCTGGAGCTGCCCATGGCACTGTACACAGCTCAAGACATTGTTCACACTAAGAATTAAGTGTTAAAACCAGGTTTTTTTTGCATACATTTTTGTTACATTTACATAGATCTATAATTATAAATTCTGTAAGGAAATTACATTGAAATATATAAGCATGCAACCCCAAATCTATAGGTGCCTCACTGTCAAAGGCTGAAAAAAATTGGAACATTCTCCAACTATGGCTTTGTGTTTTTTCTCCACTTAAAATTCCACTGTGAGCATATTCCGTGGTAAGAAAACATATATTTTTCTAAGCTTTCTCTTCAAAGGCTAGTCCCTTACTGCTAATCCTTTTAAATTAAAATAAAACAAGATGAGTTCATCTTTACTAGATAGGATTCCACTCATTCATTCATTCATTCATTCACTCATTCAGTGACTACTTCTGAGCACCTCCTTTGGTGTCAGACCTTGTGGTAAGCCAGAGAATTGAGCGCTGAATAAGACAGAATTCTACCTTCTAGGTCCTTAGGTCTTGTGAATGATATGCTGGGAAAGAGCACTTTGAGAGCTACCTGGTGAGTGGAGGGATCCCAGATAGCTCCTCAGACACAGGTTCTTTGCTCTGTACTTGACCAGCCTGGCCCTGATATACTGGATCGGGAATAAGTGTCTGACCGGGGACCCTATGGTGGCCTGCCTAATAAGGGTGTGGCTGACGCTCATAGACTCTTTCTTGGGTAATTTAAGTGGGTAGAGGCATGGGGAGAGGAGAGGAGGGCAGGGCAAGGGAAAGGAATGTGAGTAACAGGGGCTCTAAAACTTAAAGACACAAGAGAAGACAATAAGTATAAACTACAGAGGGGATAGTTGAACAAAGTACTGTGAACTAAGCAGAGCTGTGAGTAAGCACAAGCCTGCATCATGATCAGATGCAAAGGAGACAAAAAGTGTGGCTCAAAAACAGGGCACAGAGATAAACACTAGTGTCCTTGCTTAGCCACCAGACTCTCAGGTGTCACCACTGGAGCCATTATTATTCCAAGGACCACTTAATTGTTTGCAAAACCTATTTATGCAATTGTCCTTGCCTTCCTTACCTACCCTCAGGTCAGGAACGGACTGCCAAATAAGGGTGAGTTGAACATCTGCTCTGTCTCTACATTCTTAAAGATTTAAACTGAAGGGAAACTCCACTCAGAGGAAAGCCATTTTTTCTGTTATCTGAGTCAACGTTTTTTGGAAACCCCCAATCCAGAGGCTGGATTATGGTTCTCCCACCTCTGCTGGTACAAGATCTGCTTGAGCACAAGAAACATAATGACCATCTCCAGATGTTGGGCAGCGATGCACAACTTGAAATGCATCCACTAGGTTGAGCACCCTTGGAAAATTGAATAGAACCACTAGTAATTTCTCTTAAGTGCTACGGCATAATTAGTGTTAATTCAAAGGCTTGATGAGACTTGAGAAAGGAAGCTTTGATGTTAGACTTGTTGCCTCTATCATTCTTAGCTACGAGATGGGGATAATATATCAGTAAGAGTTGTGAGAACAAACAGGCTACTCTTTTTCTTGCAGCAAAATCGCTAACTTTAAAAATTTGTCTGGTTATGTGTTGCAATGATTTGCAGACACGCCTAGCAGCCCAACCAAGTCTGCCCTCACACAAGACAGATAAAGCCAGCTCACCTTGCCATCCAGGCTTGCAAACTGGCTTCACATCCACCTGCACCAGCGTGTCCTGAGCAGCAGGTTTCTGTCCACAGTCATAGGCTGTCACCAAGATCTCATACTGGCGTTGCCGGTCGTAGCTCAGTTTCTCAGTGTTCCTGATGTTGCCTGAGGAAGAGAGACGTTCAGAACCACGTCAAGTCAAATTGCTTTCTCAAAAATCCCCTCTCCATCCATCAACCTCAAGGATGAAATGATCCCTTTCTCTATCTTTTTGTAAAAACAAGGGCAAAAAGGAGTATGGCTTCCTCCTGTGGCTGGCTTACACTTTAGTAGTTAGTTCCTGAACCACTGGCTGGAGCAACCTTGGTGGGCAAGGGGCTGATGGGAATTCTGAGTATACATGTGGAATCTAAATGATCTGTGCTTACATGAAGTGGGTTGCCAGGAAACTCCTTCCCAGCGTACACTCATGTAGCTGTGTCCCTGGTAGAGGGCACAGAAAGCTCATCTGCCATGAAATTTCTGGGGAAAAGACAGAATTCAAATAATGTTCTGATACACATTTTTTAGCATCTGGGCTTGTCGCCAGGAATGTTCACTGCGTCTTCTCACATTATTTTGCTACCAAATAGGAAGTAAAATCAATAAGAAACCGTGTGACCTCCCTTCCAAAAGCTACACTGAATAACAGATTCCTTGCCCTGAGGAAGAAGGCATTTTTCTTCTTCATGAAAGAACAATTTTTTTTCAGAGCCATTTTTATGTGTTCTTGTTCCTGTGGGTTTGATATGATTCATAGATAAATATTTGGTAGTTAATGAGCAAAATATTAATTGCCTATTTTTTGCTGGAATACAATACTGACTCCAAAGAATGAATAAGGACTCAACACTCAACACTTTTAAATTTCTCATTTTAAGAGAGTAAAGTCTTCCACTGCTGACAATAATTTCATTCCTGCTTTCTATAGTCATTTTTGATGGAGTAATTGACAGAAAATTAAGACTCAAATGTTATCATCTTTTACCAGAAATGAAATTAAGAAAATGGAAATTAAAAACACAAATATAGACCAACAAAAAATCAACAATCATTGCCTATGAATTGCATACTCAGGTATATTTTCATATTTGATCAAAGCAAAAAGATTACCTGAATGAACTTTCTCCCATTCCTGATGTATACTGTTCATGTAAATTAACACATTAAGACCGCTGTTTGGGGAACTGGAAAAGTTAAATAATGCTTTAAGCATTGGAAAGGTTGGTCCACCACTCATGCAATGTTACTGAAATTGTACTCTGCTGGGTGACAACAGGAGCTATATACAGTAGTACGTCAGGGTGAAGTCCAGGCTGGTTAATGGTGAGGACAGAACACAAAGTCACCCAGGACATCCAAGCAAGAATTAGAATAATCTAGTCTGCTTCCTGTTCTGGACCATTTCTAAGAATGATTTGAGGGAGCATTTACTTTAACAAAGTCAGATGAAAATCTCTGAATAAAAATAGGTTTTACGTATTTCTGAGTTTGTCTCTGGTGTTCAGAATCTCCCTCGTTTCCCCCCTAATTTTATGTTCTTCTCAGTTCAAGGCCTGCACAGGTCTGGAGTGGCATGGAACTGGGTTGGGAACACTCCTCAAGGACTGCTAACCAACTTGTTTGCAGTTATAGTCACCACTGGGGAGGAATTCTTTCAGGTGGAAGCACTTTAATATAACCATGAGAAGTATGTTTCAGCAACATCAAATTGAATTCTGAACAAAAAGTTTTAACTTTCTCTTTCTCTAAAGTTAAATAGCTCTCAAAAGATACCCTTCTTAGAAGAGGAAGGCTCAGGGTATACAATCCATGTGACATTAAGCAGACCAAACACTATTGATTGTGGTAGAAAAACACACACACAAACTGAATCCTTGGCTCAATTTGTTGCGGCTCTGCTCCCATAACAAGTCTTAATGAAATTGACTGAGAAACTAATTTACTTTCTCTATCACTACTGACTTTGTGCACGTGAAAATCGGTTTCATGGTGCAGAATTTAAAGCATTAGGTCTGAAATAAGAGTATAATATTCTGAGCAGTTGCTTGCAGTTTCCCTTGTGGGAAAGGGTCATATTTGTATAAGACATTTACTTAAAACTGTTTGAAAGCCATCTCTTATTTCTGTTGCATTTATATCTTTTTCTCCCACATTTAAACATGCCTGCTCAAGAGACCTGAGCCTACGTCAACCAGGCCTCTTTTACCAGGTCCAAATGAAATCTGGGCAGCTAGTCCTTACAGAACAATCAGTACCTACATTCCATAGTAAAGAGGAACTGTGTTTTTCTTTTAACCCAGGAAGCATGAGGAGGGAGAGGGGGTGATGAGACAAGCACACTGACCAACACCATCTTTCTGGTGAAATTTGAATGGGAACATTCCAGAAGGCTTCTCGGCAATCTACGTCAGTCACTTTGAAAACACTCTTTAGATACAATCCCTCATCTAAAAATTGATTCAAGGAAACGTTAAAAACTGTAACTGAATTGCAGCTGTTCAAATATGTCCATCTAAGTTTTATGTATGCATTGAAATATAGTCTGATAATAAGAGAGGCAGGAAATATGGAATATTAACATTCAGGTGGAATATTGTTCAGCACAGGAATGGGGATTATGAAATTATTTCAGAGTGGGGAAAGTACATATAGTTGAATTTTAAGTGAAAACGGGGAAGAAAAAGAAAACGGTAGTGTAGTCTTAATTTTATTTAGGAATTTCATAGAAAACCTATTGGAAATAATGTAAACTTTTAATAGCGGCTTTCTTTGGCAGGGCGATGGGTGATTTATTTCCTCTCCATATTTTTTTGTGCTTTCCAAAGTTCACTATTCTGGTAAGAAAGCATATTCATTTACTTAAAGAGGAGACAGACTTTAGGACACATTCTGCTCAGAGTCCTGCTCCCGAGGGCAGCCTTCTGACAGTGAGAAACTGGCAGAAGCTGTGAGCTAGCCGGTGCATAGCCCCCCAGACTGTGTGAAGGTAAAACAGCTCATTGAAAACTGCAAAGATCTGCCAGCTGGTAACTGGGTGTCACTGTGTCACCGAGAATCTGGCTGTTCTCTCTGCTGACATTCCTTCACCTCCTGGCTTGTGCCATTCCCTCTAGTGAGTGCACTCTTTGCATTAGTTCAGGTGACAATGACATCACACAAGTACAGTACTTAATTCTCACTTTATTGATCAGGGTCTGAAACAAGTTTCAAGTAATGTGTCAAAGACCACACACACACATACACACATACACACACACACACACACACACATACACACACACGGTTACAGAGGCAGGGTTAGACAAACTTTGTGGGTTTTCTTGTCCATATTTATTGAGGTATAGTTGATAAATAAAAATTCTTTATATTTAAGGTGTATGATGTGCTGTTTTAATGTAAATGTGTGCTATGCTGCACTGTAATGACTGTCGTGATCAAGCCATTTAATCATCTGTATCTCCTCACAGTTCCGTCTATGTGTGTGTGCTGTATGTTACAAGAATACTTGGCATGTACTCAGCAAATTTCAAGTATACATTATTAATCAGTTGCCATGTTTAAATTAGGTAGCCAGAACTTTCTCATTTTTTATCTGAATGTACCCTTTCACTAATATTTCCCCTTTGTGCTCAGCCTCAAATTCCTGCTCGCCACCATTCTATTTCATATTAGCATGGGTTAAAACTTTTGTTGGATCCATGTGTAATTGAGATTATGCAGCTCTTGTCTTTCTGTGTCTGACTTATTTCACTAAACATAACGTCCTTTGGGTTCATTCAATTCATTGCACATGGCAGAATTGCCTTCGTTTTTTCAGGCCTGAGTAACAGTGCATTTTTGTCTGTGTGGGTATATGTGTGTCCATTTATCTGTCTGTGGACACAATTTGTTTCCGTGTCTCACTGTTGTGAATTATGCTGCAGTCTTCAAGGTAGAAATTTTATTTCCTGGGCATAGACACTCAGGAACGAAATTGCTAGGTCATATATTAGGTCTATTTTTAAGTTTTTGAGGACCTTTGATATTGTTTCCCATAATGGCTATAGCCACTTACATTCCAAATAACAATGAACAAGGGTTCCCATTTCTGCACACTGTCATCAGTTCTTGCTATCTGTTGGTTTTTGATAAGAGTCATCTTTATAGTTGTGAGGTGATAGTTCATTGAGGTTTTGCTTTGTATTTCACTGATGGTTAAGAATATTGAGCATTATTTCTCTACCTGTTGACTATTTGTATGTCTTCTTTGAAAAAAATATCTATTCAAGTATGTGCCTATTTTTAAACTAGATTATTTATTTTGTTAAGTTTTTCTTTGCTGTGCGAAAGTTTTTTGCAGTTTTATGATGCCTATTTAAGATATTTTTGCTTTTGTTACCTGTCTTGCTGGTGTCAGATCATTGGCAAAAAATCACTGTGAAGAACAATGTGAAGAAATTTCTCCTTAGGTTTTCATCGAGGAGTTTTATGGTTGCAGGTCTTTTGTGCAAGTCTTTAATCCATTTGGAGTTGATTTCTGTGTAAGAATCCTATTTCTTTTATTTTTAAAATTTTTTAATCCAGTTTTCCCAGCATTGCTTATTAATGAGTCTATTCTTTCTCTATTGCATATTCTTGGTGTTTTTGTCAAAAATTAGCTAACTGTATACATGTGAATTTGTTTCTGGGTTCTCCAATCTGTTCTATCAACCTAAATGTCCATTTCCATACTGGTATTATACTACTTTGATTGCTATAATTTTGTAATATTGCTTGAAATCAGAATGTGTTATGCCTCCAGTTTGTTCTTAAAATTGCTTTTGCTATCCAGGATCTTTTGTGCTTCCATATAAATTTTGGAATTTTTTTTCTGTTATTGTGAAAACTACTATTGGAATTTTGATAAGGATGGTGCTGAATCTATATGTCACTTTAGGTAGTATGAACTTTTGACAATATTACTCCTTCCAGTCCATGAACATGGATTATCTTTCCATTATGTATGCCTTCTATTGATTTCTTAATCAATGTTTTATAGTTTTAAATATATAGACATTTTACTTCCTTGGTTAAATCTATTACTAAGTGTTTTATTCTTTTGATGCTCTTGTAAATAGAATTGCTTTCTTGATTTCTTTCTTGGA